CTTGCTCAGCTATCTTCGGTCATTTTACAAAGACAAGAAAGGATTGCAAATGGCCACCATTTTTGTCTTTGTGCTTCAGGGAATTTTCTTGAAACATGTTAACCTGCTCTAACGATCTTCTTCACATGACGGATGAATGCTCAGCACGGATTCCCCGGGATCGCAGGGAGATGCACCGACGACTTTTTCGCACAAGTTTGCTATCACAGCTCTAATGCAATCTCCCTTTGGCAAATTAGTCTACACAATATAGATCGGGTCACAGCCAACCATCTTTATCCCACTACTTGGTAAAGTGTTATTAACTGCTTGGACGATGCCTTTAATATACCAATTTAAGACTCGGAGCTGATGTATGATAAACAAGGGATGGTGCCCCGAGGATTTCCGCACTTAATTGTTTAGTTTGTTGAAATGTTGCTTGCATTTGTGGTAAAGTGTCATTTTGAACTATTCATTAAAATAAGTAAGATTTTATAGCGCGTTGTTTAATTTTCCCTATTTCGATATATCTGTGTAATAGGGATGGTTACAATAGCTTACTTCAATCATAGAATACCCTATAGCTAAACTCTCTGAGCTTTACTAATGAGGAGGCCTCTTCATATGATTGCGATTCTTTTTTCCTGCTTCTTAAAGATATTTCAAACTTTTAACGGTATATTGTTTTATTTATTTATATATATATATATATATATGAAAATTATTCATATTTTTTTGTTTAAGATGATGAAGGACTTGTTTAACTTCCCACAATGATATAATTAGGCCTTATGTTTCATAGCCTTGCTTTCCTAAAAGGTGTTGTCATTCGGGTGGACTGCAGTTTCGACCTAGCCCAGGTCTTATCGACGCCCCCTGCGGGACTCGAACCACAACAGTTCAGCATATAAACTCGACACGTTAACCACTGCTTCACATTGCCACTAGTGCCCATGGGCCAGAGGGCAGATGTATATTAGACGGAAGGCCAGTCATTTTCCCAAATTAAATTCTTTGGTAGGATTATCTTGAAGCTCTGCTTATAAACGAAAAATATGCAAAAGTTGTTCAGGTTGTTAATTTACAAGAATTTACACAATCCTTCCGTGTCAAACTAATGTATACGAACCTGTCGATAAGGCTTCTTTATCGTATTTTTCTCGCTTTTTAACTGTTAGGCCAAATAATGGATGTATCATAGACACATTAGAACTTTCTACTTCCTGTAAATATTGTCTGATAAAAATAGATTCTAAATTAGCATTGCTATTTTGGGGGATGAAATGATTACCAATATGACTATGGCAGTCATTTATTTTAATTTCTGCGATACCTTAGACCCTTCCGACCTGGACTACTCCCTGCCCACTGGTGCTCTTCGATCGGCCGACGGTTATCCACACACTTCTACAGCCTCTATGATTCTTCTCTCTCCACCTGCCCGGATCCACTCTCCACCCCTTGGCGCTTTTTCACCCACGTCCAGTGGGCATGGCAGCCGCCCTTCAGCCCCACCTAATGTCACAGCTCCTGGTGTGCTGGACCTGCTGACCGGTGCCGTGGCACCACAGTGGCATTTAACTTCTCACAATCAGTCCTACGGTCTACCACTTTCGTCTCCCAAAGCACCCAGCTTCGACTCGAAATCCCACACAAATCATATGCTTGAACTTTGTGAAGACACAGCAGAAATTAATAATTCCATCTCTGGTACTGCCGCATGCCTCTACAGTTCCAGCCGAAAAAATCTCAAGTCCCAGCGTCCCAAAAAGTAGGTTTTCATTAATAATTATTTTTTCGATTTAAGTAGTCTTCGAGACTACTAGTGATTCCTGAGTCACCTTAGGTCATTTAAGGTAACTTGAAGACCATTGATAGTTGAATTTTCCCACATAATGAAATGAATAGAACTCAGTATGCCATTTCACTTATCCTCACCTACAAAAATGCTATCTCATCCAGCCTGAAGTGGACTGTAGTTTCGACCTCATCCATGTTTCATCAGGTCCCGCAGCCGGATTTGACTCCGGTTTGTGATTAGCGTGACGATATTACCACTCCACATCGTCACATTACTCACGATCCAGTAACCTATCCTTCTGTGGATTTTGATGCGACCCAGAAGATGACGCAACGGCAGTCCAGCCGGGGTAAGATAGGCTTTTAGGAGGCAAGACTAAATGAACTTTACTGGCATCATGAGACCTACCCATCTAATTGTGGTACAACTCTATTATAAATACTTAAATCGACTTCAGTAACCTAGGCTGGCCAAGTTCTGTAGATACTAAGAATAATTGGGTTTCAATGAATCTCCCAAGTTAATATTGTTGGTGAGACTTTCATTACGTATGAAAGTTCATGATAAAGTGATTCGAAGGTCGATCTTACCATAAAAATACGGCCAATTTTCGTTGTACTCCAGCCTTGTTGCCTTAATACGACCCGTAGGTTGATGCAGTCCACAAGACATCCGCCAAAAATGCTTACAGATATACATAGTCTCGGTTGTGATTTTTTTGGACCTGACTGGCGTTAATCTTTTTTAATCATATGACCGGTCTTGTCTATACACGTTACCACATTCACACGCGTGCGCACATTCAAGCTAAAGTTCCATGACCACTATTAAAGATCATTAGTCAAACAATTCTATATTTAGCCATGTCTATAAATTTTCATTTTTTTAGTCAGTAGTATATACAAGAGCTCTCACAATCTCCTTCATATGATGGACGAAAACCCAGCTAGTTTTCACCCGAAACAAGGGAGGAGGTCTCGTGAGCATTTTAACCTGAGCGTTTTATTAAAGCCAAATGGCTGCGATACAATACGACTCAGCCGTTGTCTTGTGATGAAATCGATCTTCGAATCTCTTCTTTATGCACTTTTATACGAAATGAATATGACAGAATTCTTACATAATGATCTATTTTATACTCTTGATAATTTATTGTCTTCTTTTTCATACTATCCTTGTATACCTACATTCGTTTAACCGCCTGGAAATATTATCCAGAACTAATGAAAGTAAGCCAACTAGCCCACCACTACATCGTGTCTGGTCTTCCACATCTCAATCCGACTCGTCCTCCATCCTTCACCCTACACCACCCTCCAGTCTATCCCATGTTTTTCACCCCACAATCTCTGAAAGAGGAAATGCAGCTATTGGTCAACAACCCTCGTCGTCTGTCGTCACATCTTCCGGTGTCGACCTCTTCTATCGCAGCCCTTCTTACAAGTTAGCTACATTGTCGTCAACGTTTACCTTCGACTGTTTGAAAGAGTCTGGCCTACCTTCCGAGAGTATACTTGACTCGTCTGCTCAATCGGCTTGCACTGAATTCACCTTGTCTTCTGGTGATCTCCAGAATTGCGGCAAAGCATCTGTTCCGGTACATGTGCAGTCGTCCTCGGAATCTTCTGGCAAGATAATCGTGTCGCTGGCAGACCATGTAAACCGGAGTCCTCCGCGGCCAACTCTGGATGCTATGGCGAACCTGGTGAACAGCTTGGCTCTGGGCTTACTTCACTCAGGCCGCTTGGCGACGCTTTCAGAGATTGCTGCTCATCTCGGAGAGCTGCTTGTCCCCGAGGGACAACTCCAATTGGATCTTGCTTTTAAGGCAACTAAACAAGAAAGACATGAATCAGGGACAGCACCATGGATGATGGTAGATAAAGAGGGCTTAACTCAGCCTGGATTCGAAGCTCAAGAGCCCTCTTTGCATTGGCTACAGGAGAACAGTTTGGCTCTCTGGTTAATTTCACAAAAGTGAGTGGCGTCTAGGTGCGGTTTTACTTATAATTGTCGGCTCATTCTCGAAGCTAGACTAAAAAATTCTATTAGAGTAGGGTTTCGAGACTACCAGTAAATCAGTGTAATGAGATGTATTCACCCTATTTCGTG